AAGAGTATAAAGTATAATGTCTTTTCATTATATCTACTTTCGCAACCCAAGATGATGACTACTCCTGTTACAAAACCGGGCTACATGCGAACTTCGCTCAGCAAATGATACCTGCCTATGTGCAGAAATCGCTCGAGTAAAGAAAAGAATTCGTTTCAATGTTTGTTAAACACAAAAAAACGTGTTCCTTGTGTTTAGACGTGCTTTTGAACAAAAAGAGTCAGTGAGTAAGTTTCGATGACCGTGTGCTTTCTGGTCAAGGAAGCAGATGCATTTGACAGTATCTCCAGCGTTCCCGATTTTGGGCCATCGTTTGAACTTCGGCAGAAAATAATTCTAGTCTGGAGAAAATCCTTACATACACTTGCTTCAGGTTATTCTTGACCCTCCCCGGTCGGTTGAACAAGTAGTAGCTGTTTCACCTTCCTTTCTGTAAGCATAGTCGCAGTATGTGCCCAAACCATCGCTGCTGTAACTCCCACTATGGAAAAGAGTGAGAATTTGAATGAGTTTCACAAATCATTTAGAACAAGTCAAGTTTATTGCTATCGCAGGTAGTAGGTAGTGATTTTTAGCTGATAGTACATGGAGATAATATTGCGTGCTGAAGAAATGTATGTAGACATGTATGTATTAGCATTCTGAGTGCTACTGCGTCTTTGCCGTTATGAACTGAAACTAATTTGCTTCTCAATCGAGTAATTTGTGATTTTTTGCATTACTGCCTAAACCTCAGCCTATATCAAAGCTACTGTGTAAACATGAACATATTGGAGATAATGCTGAGGCTTGGATATTTGAGTGAGCTTAGTAATAATAGACTAATACCGCGGTATTGCCGACAGGGACTGAACTGCAAATCACTTTCATTCTATACCAATATGGACAGTAGCATATATGACCCCGTCGTGGTTACTTAAATAGTATGGGGAAAGACCTAAAATGTTTGTTCAATTGCATAAATCGTTTGAATAACCTTCTGAGCACAGTTTACTGTTATTTTTATATTCAAATGGTGACGTGTTAGTATTGTTACCATAATAGAGAACTACAATCAGTGGGTAACCTGTCATTTTCCGTTATGCCGCCTGCTTTAGTGAAGGTCAATAATCCTGTTTGCACTACCATTCTCATATGGGTTTAATTTAACGTTTATGAATGAAAAATGATGAAATCGAGTCCTTGTTCTTCTCAGAGAGAAGTACTGATTAAAATGAGTTTTTTCAGCCACTACGGATCCCAAGTACTCTGCCTCGTTTGGGCTCTCCCTTCTCTCATCAAATACAACGCTGTTGTTGGTTCAGCTGCCACAGCGACCCATAACTGCTGGTAGGATAACCGTTTCAAGTACTGCTAGGTGGCCCGGCAGACCAGAATGGAACATGTGGAGTCCCCCTGCAGTCAATAAAACTAGTTTGTCATTAAAGCTTCATTAGCGGTCAGTGCCTTATTGCATATCGCAGTGGTGTTGTAAAATTGCCAACACAGGGATATCACTCACCAGAGACGTTCTGCCCACGCAAATGCTGAAGATGATGATCGTACAACACATGTGAGAAAAATATTATATTAAATATAGTCACCATACATACCCTATCGGGTCATCCATTAGTAGGGTTGTTTGGATCTGTTCATGAAATCGATAACAAGCTTCAAAGACAGGTAAATCATGTCTTTCAGTTTCTATCGCTGGATGAAGCTTTCGGTTTTTTTTGCTGGATAATTTATATTGCACTGTAGATCTTGTTTAATGAAGTATTCAATCACTTTCTTGAAGGTAAATATAGGAAACACGATAAGGCCATTATCTAAGTATGCTGTAAGTATCTAGGTGTCTCCGGTGAAGAAACTGTTCAATTACACTTTTTCTCTGTTGACTGAGCACTCGTGATTAATTATGATTTTGCACTGTTTCGAAGGTTTCTATCCATGATGAAGTGGTTGTTACCTGCAGAATCATTCGAATAGATTTTAAGTTTAGTTAATTAACTGTTATTTCAGGCGACCACTTCAGACGCTGAAGTCGAGAACATTGCACAAAAGGGACGATGCTCAAACCAGGAAATTGTTGAACGGTTGATGGTATTTTTGTTGTATTTATTAATTAGTGCTTGCTGTTGTCATTTGATTCATGAATGGGTTGTTGTTATTTGTTGTTGTCATCAAAGGTTAGCAGAGCTTGAACAGCAGAGTATCTCAGATCTATTATGTCTGTCTAGGAATCGATTATCATTTGGCAGCATATGATTTTTTTAAGATGTATGAACCTGTACTCTGTTAACGCATAAATAACCAAACAGTCGTTAGCACTTATCCTCAGTTGCACGGACGTCGGCAGATAAAAGCTGGCTTTTATTTCTGTCCTAGAAATGCCTCAAAATTTTCGTTGTTTACGTGTGAAAGTGAATGCTACTGCGAACGGTTCGCATTCGTAGCGAATCAAACAACTTTGATCCACGAAATCCGGCCTACCATCGTTTAACGCTGTGTTTAGTTGGCTTCATCTTGCATGATGGAATACTTGTTCCTTAACTGGCGAAGGTGCAGTTACAGAGATTACACGTTTCACTGATTGTCACATTGAGTAAGCAGCCATCAGGCGGGTCAAGGCTAATTGCAACCATATGAGGCATTCGTTCGCATCAGACAGCATGGCCATGCCTCTCGTCGGTTCGTGGTCACCATTCCAGAGCTCTACATTGCCCTGTAGTACGCAAGTCAGCGACCTGTTGAGGAAATTAACAGTTAAGACAGACTGTCTTTTTCATGATTCGACCTGTCGACCTCTGACATTATGCATACCCGCCTCAGTAAGTTAGGTGATGGCTGCCAGTACAAGTTGGACTTACTGGTTGTCACGGAAACCGGAAACTCCCATCCCCGCTGAAAGGGACGATTGTCTTACAGAATAAAAGTCAGATCACAACATATGGTGTATTCCTGATTGTGCTGCCTGATGCTTAAGGTTGCAGTTCGCTTTAACCTACTTGATAGTGTCTGATGATCTAAAACGTGTGAACCGTAAATTAACTTAAATTTTTTCTGACTTGTCTATTTCTTTTGTTACAGCGTATCTGTGAATGGCAGAATAAAATATTTTTCGTTTCTGGCTTATGCTACTTTTTAATTGTTTATGAGTCATACGAGGTGCTTCAGGTGCTCCGAGATGCCTGTGCAGGCACGAATGACCGGTGGCGATTGCTTAGCTACAACCGAGCGATCAGTTTGGTGCAGAAACTCGATCGTCCAATACAAAGAATCGAGGTACAGTCTATAGTCTGCATTTGACATACCCTTTATGAGTTTTACTTGGTACTGATTATTTCGACCACCGTAGTCATGGAAACGTAATATGCCAAATCGTGATTTCTGCAACATGTTTTTTAGAAATCTATAATCATCATTGTCACAGCACTGTTGGCGTTTTGTCGTTTTCATGGTCAATGAAAAGTACAGCGAAAGAAGTAGTAAACCAAAACATGTTAGATTGTCATGCATGCAAATAAGTGTACTCTGAAAAAGGAGAATGAGGAGAAAAACTCGAGTTAAGTTGATCAGTGACATTGCTGTAGGCACAAGGTGCACCGTTTCCATAAAGACAGCGTGACAGGATTTTTTTTTTGTTTTTAGTCTAAACCATGTCTTAGTGTTCGGAAGGGCTTTTTCGTCATATACTTGTTTTTACTTAAGAGGCGCCACAGCTGGCCGCCTCATATATACGCAATACATCGATTTAAAGTTAATGATAGGTTGACACCAGATGTTGACCAAATTAACAGCCGACCCGCCTAGCGGTTCTGCTGCGGTGAGAGTCCCGTCCTGTTTGCTGCTTAAAGAACGGTTTGCATATGGGGATGAGATGCACGCGCGAGCGTACAACTTTTTTTTATTATAAATATCAACAAAAGACACGACAAAAGTCCACGACAAATAATCATCCCAAAAGTATGCGACAAGTCTTCTTGAATGACGAACTTGCTTTTTTATATGTGTTCTTCGAGAGCTACACCCAATTCGCATTCACCACCGTTTTTTCACTAGTATTTTCCCCACGTGCACATCTCTCATCTGATGCTGTCATCTTTGGAATTTGTAGAACAATTTTTAGCAAAGTCTGCATGACCTGTTACTTCGACATATGCATAAATGTGAACCTTAGAGTGAATTTTTGCCGCTCATCTTATGGTTCAGATTTTTTCTCTTTTCGAGTTCGTAGTAGCGTCTCAATATTTACTTGTGGCCATAGAGGAGTATCTATTGTACATACGATGTTTCGTCCCCAAATGCGTACGGACTCCTTTACCAAAAAATTATGTTTTGGCCAGTCATTATTGGTCATATACACGTTTGTCTGACTGAAGGAGTGTCTTAGATATCGCATTGTGCAATATCAGAGTAATCAGCTTGTCTCAGGCAGACTCAAAATAAATGCTCTCTAATCCCAATATTCAGTTTGTGGTAGCTCTTTGCGACGAATATCTTGTCAGGGTCTCCAAACTCGAGACTGTAAA